GCTTGTATATTGTTTTTGTCTGCTAATTTGAATTTACATGCACTAAAAATCACGTTTACGGTTCGGTTCATTGTCGATGAACCGCGAGCTTAGCGAGTAAAAATGCAACATCGCCAACAGGTTCTCTGCGGATGAAAACCCCAAGTGGTTAATATGTTAAGAGCGGCATTATAACATAAGACTAATAAGATTCATCATTGCTACATAGAAATAAACACATTTTTTGCTCATCTTCCAACTTGTGTGAAAAGAAATACAAGGCAGTGGTTTGGGGAAAAAACAAAAAAAAAAGGATCTTTACAATATGGTAACTGGTAGTTTGGCGACATTTTGGAGGCGATAAAGGTTACTACCTGACACTTTGGTAATAATGTGAGCGGTACTCAGTTCCGATTACGCATTATTTTGTGTGAGGGAAATGAGAGATCATGGGATATGTCATGTGATATTAATGGACGAATTACGGTTCTTTAATCGGAAAAGGGGGAAAATCGGGAAAAAATCTGGAAATTTTGTATTTGGCTTTATTCTGTGTTGTGTGAAACAGTTAGGGTGAATTTTTGGATCCCATGGCCGTAACTGAAGTGAATTCCAAATGGGTACTTATGTATGTATTAATTTAATGTATGTGCTCATTTATATTTTAAGTAGTGTTTTTGAATTTAATTATATTTTAATTAAATGATAGTTATTTTGTGAATTTTATGTTTGTAGGAATTTGGTATACGTTTTAGTTGAAGTAAACGTGCATGGAAATAATTTAAATATCTGACACTAAGTATTTGTAATGGTTGCGGTATGAATTCGTTGGTGACGTGTATAATGTAATAGATGATTTAGAGGTAAAAGTTTTTGGATATTTTATTTTATATGTGGAAATGTTCATTACTTTTTCGCGATCAGGTAATTTCATATATGTTCTTTTTACCGGGTTTAAAGATTGAGAAAATTGTCATGTATTTTCGTGAAATTTTTCTAATTTATGAGAAAAAAGCAGTGTACATGGATATAGTGAAGAGTGTGCGCAATGCCATTTTTGTGCAATTCTGGGATGTTTTTTTAAGTAAAAATAAGTCGGCGTGTACATGATTTAGTGATATTTTAATTAAATGATAGTTATTTTGTGAATTTTATGTTTGTAGGAATTTGGTATACGTTTAAGTTGAAGTAAACGTGCATGGAAATAATTTAAATATTTGATACTAAGTATTTGTAATGCTTGCGGTATGAATTCGTTGGTGACGTGTAAAATGTAATAGATGATTTAGAGGTAAAAGTTTTTGTATATTTTATTTATTTTATATGTGGAAATGTTCATATTTGGAAAGGGTAAATACTTTTTCGCGATCAGGTAATTTCATATATGTTCTTTTTACCGGGTTTAAAGATTGAGAAAATTGTCATGTATTTTCGTTAAATTTTTCTAATTTATGAGAAAAAAGCAGTGTACATGGATATAGTGAAGAGTGTGCGCAATGCCATTTTGTGCAATTCTGGGATGTTTTTTTAAGTAAAAATAAGTCGGGTGTGTACATGTTGGTTTATGTGTATGTGTTATTTTGAAAAACGCGTAAGGAGTATGGTATTGTGCACTTTTTCCCAATTTTGCAGTGAATATTTGTCATGATTAAGCAGTTTTGTTAGATAAAATTTCTAGCATAAGTGTAATTCGGCTAGTAGATTGTTGGAAGAAGTGTTCAGTAGATAAAAAGAAAAGAAACATGTCTTTACTTCGTGAAGACAAAATGGCGGCGGGAAAAAAAAAAATAGAGGGTTGCTGTAGGAGAGTTGGTCGCCAAATTTTCGCCAAAAAAACGCCAAGTTACCATAATGTAAAGATCAACCAAAAAAACCACCGAGAGATTGAGAATATTAATTTTATGTCTGTGTAACTGATGAACAAAATTTATACATTCTAGAAGTTGGATTAAGACAAAGGACATGTCAGCTATCTGCCTAAAGGAATCGATGCTTTTATGGAGAACTTTTAACGGAAAGCGTTTGTGCCATCTTTTAGCTAAGTTAGAAAAGAAAAGAGTATAAGGATGTGCATTAAATTCTATTTCAAGGAACATATGAATAGCTAAATAAAAATTTTCAAATGAGGAAAATGGAATCACCCTTTTAGGTACTTGACACTCAGCTATATTTATATTTAAAGTATTTAACACTTTGATATAAGGTATTTGACACTGAGATAAAGATTTCACACTAAGATAGAGTAAAAATACCGGTTGATCTTTACAATATGGTAACTGGTAGTTTGGCGACATTTTGGAGGCGATAAAGGTTACTACCTGGGACTTTGGTAATAATGTGAGCAGTACTCAGTTCCGATTACGCATTATTTTGCGTGAGGGAAATGAGAGATCATGGGATATGTCATGTGTTATTAATGGACGAATTACGGTTTCTTTAATCGGGAAAAGGGGGGGGGGAAATCGGGGAAAAAATCTGGAAATTTTGTATTGCGTTTAGCATTTTGCTTTAGCTTCATAGTGTGTTGTGTGAAACAGTGTTGGTTAATTTTTGGATCCCATGGCCCTATGTAAAGTAACGAGGGAGGATATTACAGAAAGTGAATGGCGGTCGAAATCTATGAAAATGGACATACAAATACGATTGAGGGCACGTGGGGGCATAAAAAGTGCTATTCCGAAGATATAAGAGAAGTTTGCTTTTTATTTAGCAGAGGAAGTATGGAGGAAAAATTCACAGAAAAAAATCTTTCAATAATTTTATTGAATGAATTAGAAAAGTGTATCCGCCACGTAATCAAGATTCTGAAGAAGATTAGGTAAGTTAGTATTTTTAATTATTTGAGGATATTATTTTTATGCATTGTTCTGAATGTAAGGTGGAAAGGAATTTGGTATTATTGGGAAAATTGTTATTAGCAATGATTTAGTTTAAAGTAATTAGGATTGTAAGCTAATTTTTATTAATGTATGTGCTCATTTATATTTTAAGTAGTGTTTTTGAATTTAATTATATTTTAATGAAATGATAGTTATTTTGTGAATTTTATGTTTGTAGGAATTTGGTATACGTTTTAGTTGAAAGTAAACGTGCATGGAAATAATTTAAATATTTGACACTAAGTATTTGTAATGGTTGCGGTATGAATTCGTTGGTGACGTTTATAATATAATAGATGATTTAGAGGTAAAAGTTTTTGGATATAGTTATTTATTTTATATGTGGAAATGTTCATATTTGGAAAGGGTAAATACTTTTTCGCGATCAGGTAATTTCATATATGTTCTTTTTTACCGGGTTTAAAGATTGAGAAAATTGTCATGTATTTTCGTGAAATTTTTCTAATTTATGAGAAAAAAGCAGTGTACATGGATATAGTGAAGAGTGTGTGCAATGCCATTTTTGTGCAATTCTGGGATTTTTTTTAAGTAAAAATAAGTCGGCGTGTACATGGTTTATGTGTATGTGTTATTTTGAAAAACGCATAAGGAGTATGGTATTGTGCACTTTTTCCCAATTTTGCAGTGAATATTTGTCATGATTAAGCAGTTTTGTTTGATAAAATTTCTAGCATAAGTGTAATTCGGCTAGTAGATTGTTGGAAGAAGTGTTCAGTAGATAAAAATAAAAGAAACATGTCTTTACTTCGTGAAGACAAAATGGCGGCGGGGAAAAAAAAATAGAGGGTTGCTGTAGGAGAGTTGGTTGCCAAATTTTCGCCAAAAAATCGCCAAGTTACCATAATGTAAAGATCAACCAAAATACCTAATTCTCAAACTGCAGCTATCCTGATACAATACAAATACTGAACACTGATTAATGAAGAAGTATATTATGTTTATAGTTATATGAAAATTAACAGAAAAGGTAGATCATGCTTTAGTTAAATTGCATCAATATAAATACTGAACACTGATTAATGAAGAAGTATCTTATGTTTAAAGTTATATGAAAATTAACAGAAAAGTAAGATCATGCTTTAGTTAAATTGCATCAATATAAAAGAAACAAGAATATTTCACATTTGGTTTATCTTCTCCCTCATATATGTATGTATTTTTAATGGAATTTGACGTACACTTCTAATCCCATTAAAAATGACAAAATCAGTTTATAACCAATATTATTACTGACACTAAAAATTATTAGCTTGTAATGATAGTAGCATGGGAAACTCAATTTTACCTAACAGACTGGCCTTATGAAAACTGAATTTCGGCAAAAATCCCAGCTTACTTCTTGCAGATATAAAAAAATTCATAGCACATCCTGAACATGGGTGAGCAAGACATAAATGATATTAAAAAACTATCAGATTACTACGTACGCGTTTAACAGATAAAATGTGGGGAAAAAATTCACGAATCATACATAATGTTAATTAGAACTGAGATGTTAATAGAACTTGCATATTGTTAATTAGAATAAGCTTAGATAGTGTTAATTAGGGCCAAGATGGAAATTATTATGCTGATTTAATTGAATTTTCACATTATTTTTTTTAATACACAAATAAAACGATTTTCCCCCCCTTCATGGTCGGAAAGTTTCATTATTGTCGAGATAGAAGCAGAATATACACTACATAAATTTCCAGTCAAATGACGGAATATTTTCAACAGTTCATTAATTCGCATATTTCAGAAACAGATGTATGGTTTAATAATGAAATGCTCGAAAAAATTCTTTAATTAATGCTTGCTATGATGTAGGCTTACCGTACTGACTCAGCGAAAATTTTAGTTAGGCTTAATGATCAATCATGACTTTGAATCTAACAATAAATTAACTTTTTTTTTAATCGAAACATCTTCTAATTTAAAAAAAAGAGGCAGAAATATCCACACTAGAGAGTGTTAGCAAAAAATTTAGCTTAGATATTTTTTAATAAATCTCAATTTATAAAAGCCGGCACTTTAAGATTACAACAAAAATAAAGAAGCTTACATCGACATTAAAATGAGTTAACTAATATATAACATTAACATACACAAGAAAAATAGCGTAAGATAATTTCTTACTTTTGTTTTCCAGACATATTCTGTAACAAGGAGACAACAATGCTCTTTGGTTAGCAATAAATGTAAAATGATTTAAGGATGCGGAATTTCGTTAATACAGTAACAAAATATATGTTCACAGTGAACAGCTATATATTCTTTTTGCAAATATATGGGATAACACTACACAAACTCACTCAGTTACTTATAAACTACGGAACAATTGCCGATCACACAGAAACAGACAGTCAGCGACACAAAGATTTCCTGCGAGGCTACACCATGACGTAACAAATGATTATTCGCTGAAATTTACAATATTTAAACCTTTCAAGAAATAATTAGATTCTAATGTTTCAAAATATGTAAAAAAAATTTCTTTTATTTTAATGCTCAAAGCAAATATTATCTCTAACAAATTTTAATAATTATCGCGAGCAGTGAATTCATCCTGAAAGCGTGACTCCGCGAAACGCGCTTTTTGTGATTTAGCATTTGTCATTAGGAGAATAATTAAAAAGTTAAGTTTCTTTCAAATCCAACCATTTTTCTTTTCCTAAAGATTTTACTGCCGAAGAAGTATATAAATTGAGGGCAATTTTTTTTTCAATGGCAGCTCAAACTACGTTATCAGAACTCATTAAAGTAAAAACAACACTACATATTGTGGATTACAATACAACTAAAGTCATTAGCTCAAAAATTATGTATCTCGCTAGAATAAGCTGTCACAAACAATACATGTAAATTTTGTTCATAGGTTCCAGAAGGCACTCCATGTGATAAAGTGCAGCTCCCTGCATGACTTTTTCATCAGTAGATCTTATGTAACTTCTACAAATCAAATATAATCTTTTCTTTTGTACAACTTTATATAGATTGTGAGTGGCAACAGTTAGAAACTAAAATAATCGTAAAATGATGTTGTTTAAAAAAGAACGTTTTTAAAAAGTGAATAATAAAGTGTTTTATTTTAAATTTAGTAGCCTAAAGTTGTTCTTAAACAAAAAATATAACGTATATGATGTAGCAACCGCTACACTTATTTAGCGAGTTCTAAAAATAGTAATTTCTGTTTCAACGGAAGTGCAAAACTTATTCACCAAGTAAAACATCTTCAATTACTGTATCGCCAAATTAAAAGCGCACACCCGTAAAAACCCTATCATATATGCTTCCGCTACGCGGTACTGAAAGTTGAAAGGGACATTTCCACGAAACCTGCGTAGCTAAGGTTACCATTTCTCCTTGCTAAACAGTAATCCATTATCGCTCAGACTAGCGAAAGAGACGTTTGTTTCCAAATTCTATGATGCATCGCTCTTACGGAAGCATTTCAGTATTTCCTTTTGACTTTTTAAACTTGTTTGTTATTATGGAAGATTAAATGTAATATAAATGAAATACATATGAGTTTTACTATGTTTCAGCACTCTCAAAAATGCTGTACTATATCAAAATATCAGATATTCTGAATTTTATAACTTCTTTCTTGTTTGCTTCAAAGCTTAGAGAAAAACTTAAAATGTGTACAAAAAAGAAATACACTGGTTATCATAAATTAAGGAAAAATCACAAAAATAGCGATAACTCCCTCAAAAATAAGCAAACCGTGTAAAATTTGAAATGTTGCCAAGTAAGAGTAGCTGAGTAAAACTCCAATATGCAAATTAGCGGCACTGCACTCAGAATACGTCATCTGCGAGGAGCATAAAAGTCCATGTTTGAGAGCAAGCCCACATATTTCACTGTGATAGTGACATCAGAAATGAGATAGCTAATTCGTAACAATGATCTCCAGGCATCATTTGCCCGCAGAACTACGACAGAAAGGCATTGGGAGACTAGAGGCAGGACAAAGTCAAACAGAAGTGGCCAGATTGTTAAATGTGAGTCCTTCTGTGGTTCATAGACTTTGGAGGCAACTTCAAAATCACAGATTCGGCACCTAGGAGGTTCATCCAAGGACTGTGCACTCAGGAATAGAATCGCTACTCCGACTCTTCTTAGATCCTCCCTTGCTGCAGCCACCGGAACGTTGGTGTCAACGTCAATTGTGCGTAGAAGGCTTCACAAACGTGGTCTGTATGCGAGGCGAACAACCATTTGCGTGCTGCTCAAGTCACGCCATAGAGGGACCGTTTGTAGTAGACACGACAACATGTCCACTGGACACCTGAGCAATGGAGGGCTATTCTCCTTACGGATGAGTCCAGGTTTAAGCTTCGTTTCCACTACTGTGTACGAACGCGTTGCGTCAATTGAAGACACGCCTACGGTATCCGTACAAACGTTTCCACTGCCGCGTATCCGTAGAATATTTTCATTTTCCGCCGCTAGGTGTCACTATAAAATCTTGCGCCAAACAAGCAGTTCGCGAGTTACGACCCTGAACATCTGAATTTTTCCCGCTTAAGTGAGTATTGTTTGTTTTGGATTTGATATGGATCCTGACGTATAACGAAGAAAAGTTTTGTTTACTAAATTCCATGTTATTGGAAATTTTTATTTCTGCTTATGAACTGCGAAAGTAAAGTACGCTAGCAATTTTTAGATAAGTAAGGTTATAATGCATATTATGAACATCACTAATTCCATAGAAGCTGAAGTAAATTTTAAAAAAAATTTTGCGTTTCTAGAAGCCTTAAATATTAATGAAATAATATATATATTATTAAAACTAAAATGTACTGTTGGTGAAAAAATAAACAAATAAATAAATAAAATAAAAAAGTTAAAGGAAATAAAAAAATAGTTGGTACTTTAAAAATACAGAGCAACTGTAAAGAAAGGTTCACAATATTTGCTATGCTTGTATACCGCTGACTTCAGAGTCATAGCTGGATAATTTATTAGAAATCTCGTTTGTTTTAAAATGCACTATGGGCAGTTATATTTTATGCATAATCCATAAAATATTATTTTTAATTTAAACATCTTTAATTCATATCTCTTTTTATAGAAAAAGTTATAAAAATAAGATTTTTTTTTCTTTATATATACGACCATTAGGTAAAGAAAATGGAAATATTTAATTAATTAATTCCTGCGCTTCTGCCGGAGAGTACTGGATTTAAAAGCAATTATTATAGGAAGATTTTGTTAGAAAATGTTTAGGGCATTAATACTGCCTCATGTTAATTAGAATGAAAGTTTAGAGTCGTAAACATCCCAAAGTCTGAGCACATGTATATATATATACATTCACATAAAAGTGAAACGAAAATACATATATATATATAATATATATCTACAGGGTTTCAAAATAAATTAAATTTAAATAATTCTCTTGCGCCATTGCTGCAAGGAATGAAATTTGAATTTAACAAACATTTTCCATTCGTAAAAAAAGCAAATTTAAAGTTAATTAAAGGGCCCACCAGCGGCCGAGCGATAAAGTCGCTGAACACTGGTAGTTCGGTCCGAGGTTCGAATCCCGCGAACGGGCTGGCTGCATGGATGTTTTTGTGGTTTTTCTCATGTGTAACGTGCATACGAGCCAGTTTCCCTTAGAAAGTCCTCTACGAAGGCATCCCTCCCCTTAGGCAGATAGTCCTCGAGGCTTTGCCGTAATTAAGTAACCTAACCTAAAGTTAATTAAATTTAAATGAAATTTAATGCAAACAAATAAATGATTAATTATTGCTGCGAACTAATATACAATATCATTTAAATTCTGAGAGCATATGTAAATCAAATGCAAGTATCAAAATCCAAGAATAAATATATAATGCCTAGGCATTCTATAGAATAACGGATTTCAAATTTTGCCTGTAATATATGCACTGCGTAGGTTTTTCTCCCAACGAAGCAACGCATACGCCTTGGAGACGTGGCATCATACTTTTGTTTATTTAGTCATTTGTAAAATCACAGATGCTTTTCAGAGCATCTACTCTGTGATTAATTTTTAGTTCAAAGGGGCTTTGTCACTGAGGTAATATTGTTTTCGTTTGGGCATTTTGAGTCAAAATCTTTTAAGACTTTTCAAGCTGTTGCCGCCGAATATTATCGCCCTGTATTATATTTGAAGAAATTTAATAATGAAGAATCTGCATAAATGTATGTATGTTTCTCGCATTGTAATAAAACAACGGTACCTAGAGGGAATTTGAATGATAATTTAATAAAGGGCACTAGCCAAATTGAATTTTTTTATAATCATATTTTTAAACTTACATTTCTGAACAAGTATGGATTTCCGGTTATGTTTTTACCACCAATCCTCGAATTCCATATCACAGATTATGTTCTTACTGCATTAATATAAATATTAACAAGACATAGTGCACAATAAAAATTAAGCTTTATTTAGGAACTTCGCGCACACTGCCCGACAGCCTGCCTGTTTCGCTCTGCTCGCTACTCGTAAGAAACTTCTCCTCTAGGGTTGCCACACTTATCGGAGGGCGCAAGGCGCGCTCCTTATCGCCATCACCACAGAGTTTCCCCCCAGTTCCTTTAATGGCTATTCAAAGGAACGACATAGGTTATGAAATTATCTCAGAGTATCCGTACTGTCGGGTATTTTTTACATGATTACAAAATTAGAATATAAAATTAGAAAAGATCAAAATGCAATTCAATATATAACAAGGTATTGACACATATAATAAACATGAAATAACAAGAAATATGTTAAGATATGAATTTTTAAAAAAATGTTTTAAATTGTTATGTAAGAAGCAAGTTTCTTAGGGAAGTGAACATGTCTTCCCGATCTGGTGACAGTTTGTGTCTTAGAGAGTTCGTTTGCAGATTTATTCTGCTGAACTGTCTTTAAGTCTTTATTTGTTTTCAGTTCAGGCAAATTAGAGTCCGAAAGCAAATAGGCTGGTTTCACACGGTCTATAGACACAGTAGATTTCAGACCGTTAACATCAATTGTGAAAGTTTTGTCCGTTCTAGAAAGGACTTTATGCGGACCTGTATATGGTTGGCACAGAGGTGGCTTTACTCGATCGACACGTAAGTATACATGCGTACACGACTTTAAGGTAGCACTTACGTAACATTTTTCTTGGCAATGTGCAGATGTTGCTATTGGATTCAATTGTTGCATTCTATGCCTAAGATTCGTGATAAATTGTGTGTCATACGGAGATATCTTAGATGACGTTATCATATCACTAGGCAGCTTGAGAGTTGTGCCGTACACCAGTTCAGCACAAGATGACTGTAGATCTTCCTTTACGGCTGTCCGAATACCAAGCATAACAACTGGTAGTGTTTCAGTCCAGTTATTGGTCTCGTGAGCCTTGAGAGAAGATTTTAA